ATGAAGCTCATGCAAAAACTGAGCAAACGCTGAAAGCATCTCTTGGGCAATCTGTCTCCCCTTCACATCGATTGAGAAGCCGCTCTCAGGTTTCCTCCAGAGCAACAAACACGGAGATGACGAAGCATGGCAGCGGAGCAGACACACCCTAACAGAGCCGAGCCGCCAGGCGTCAGCCTGAAACCAAGCAGTTCAGGATCCGTCCTCTTCTGCAGCTTAAATTATTCATGCTGACTAGACTCTTCTCATTGAAATGAATTTCAGTTTCACTTGGACTGATCGTTTTAAACATGTTTAACAGTCGTGCTCTGCAAAAACCGTGGAAATCGCCCTGACACTATGAGCCCATCTGTTTGTGAAAAGTGCAGGTTTCATGAAATGCAAGCGGAGAATTCGGCTCAGTCTATTTACTCATAAACTTTACTTCAGGAGTTCAGAATCTCTCAGAGGGAAACGTCGCTATTTGTTCAAACTGCAGCAAATTCTCAAGCATTTCAGGCAGAACACGTTTGGCCTGAAATATTGAACATTTAATGAGTTTAATCCTCTTTTTCTTGTGTTTTAAATTGTTAACATGTTGAACATTTTAACCAATGACTAATTTGCATGAAAAAATTTGTCCTAATTTCCAACAGAAAATATAAATATAAAGGTCATGGTATAATTTTAAAAATACTTTATGTTCTGATATTTAGGACACAGCAATAATGTTATGATCCAATTGTTTTTACTGTCAGTATCACAAATGCAGCTAAAATTCAATCACAAATTTAATAGTAGTTATTAAAATAATAAAATAATAATGATAGCAATGCATATTTATCAACACTTATCAATTTAAAAAAGGTGATACTTATGTCAAAGCTGCAAAATATTATAAATATTAGTAAATTTAGCTTGTTTCTTCAAATTTATCTTCTACATTTTTAATCCATTTTATTTTATTTTAATTTCGTCTTTGCCCTCAAGGGGCTACAACAGGTTTGTAGGACTTGTACTATGACAACAAATATTAAATTAAATGATTATTAAATTTGAAATAAAGGAAAAAATGAGTTAAATATTACTTCATAAAACTTCAGCAGCCTGAAAAACTGGTGTTAGCTATTAAAACGTAAGTAAGTAAAGTTTATTTATAAAGCGCTTTTTACAGACATAAAATCACAAAGTGCTGTAGAAATCAACCTTAAAACTATACAAAGCATAAAGGTTGTTAAAATAACAAATACAGATGCCAACTTTTGTCCATTTGGCATCCTTTTCTCAAGACTTTGCAAAAAAAACATCTTTTTTTGTTTGTTTTATTTTAATCAGAGGAAAGCTTCAGGCCTTGACCATCGACTGAATCTTTTATGCAACTCTTTCCTCTGTAAACCTTAAAACAGAAACTCTGGAATCAGGAATCTAAAAAAGCATCTACTTACACAAATCAAGGCTATAAATGTAAAACATTGAGTTTTTTTGCATCTTTCCTTTCCTTGTTTCTTCTCAGTAACATCTTTAATACATTCATTCCTGTTGCAAGGCGTTGTGGTTTGACAAAACACGAACCATTCATGGAAAAAGAAAAAAAAATTCACAAACAATTCCCATTTTGGATCCAGGAACCAGTAACAGCTCTGCATTTTCACCTAAAATAACTCAAAATATGCTAATAATAAAACAGTGATTACTGGACTAATCTGATTGTTGAAGCTTAGCCTGTATCTCTGATAAAGCATCGCTAATGACAGCTTATGAGTGTGGGCGCACTATTGTGAATGTGCCTCAGGATATGAAAACAATGGAAGTGTCCGTCAGCGCCTCTCATCTCTACATACTGCAGCACATCAAACTCAACAAGACGAGCAAGATAAGGACCGTAAGCAGCTTCTGCGTGCTCACATTTGAGTTTATCCGTCTGAGGAAGTTTGACACACATGAACATCCATCTCACTTGTCAAGCCATCGTTCAGTGCCCCCCCAGCACCTTCTAAAATGCCCACCTCCTCGGCTCCCAGTCGCCCACTCGCCTCGTCTATCTGAGCGCCACGTTTCTCCATTTTGAAACGTCCACCTCCTCTACATCACTCACCCTCCGTCTCAACAATGAGAGCTTGACTTAACCTGTCTACAGTAAATTTGAGGGCGTTTAAAAAAATCATTTTTGGACAAAAAAAAAACTATACATAAAAATAATATAGTTATATTTCTGATTCAGACCTCGGCCTCACTCCCACATTCGTCCGCTACTTTGCTTGTCAGAAAAGATAACATCTCAACCACAGCGCAATGCACTCAACTTGGTTCACTTGTGTCCCTCCATGTAAGACAAACCCAGAAATAATTTGCACACACTTTACATTTTTCTTTTTTTTTTTGTCTCATGTGAGAATAAACTGCGCATGAAAAGGAAGGGGGCGCAGAGGGAGGCAATCTTGTTACGAGCCGGCATAGCCCTGGGAAGATTTCTATCAGACACACGTAAAGAGAGAGGCATCCATTTAGAAAATGGCTTTTCTAGGCATGCTGGGCCATTTAGCACACCCTGTGACGACTCCTGTTTGGGGCAATGATAAATGTTCTTTCACACACAGTCTGTGCACTCCGTCAGACCAGCACACACACACACACGCGCGCACACACACACACACACACACACACAAAGCCATATGGGCAGCCAACACAAGACATCTCTGGTAGTAACACCTTTAGAGCGACACAGGCTTCTTTGGGTTTGGCTAACGGACTCAACCTCACACACGCGTTGGCTCAATTGGTTTAAATACGAGGAACGTCATGTTTACAGAGCGCTGAACATCAAGTCGATACTCAGAAACAAGAAATCGGTTCACTTAAACATGAGGAAATGGGTCCCACTTTTAGAAAAACCACAAGTGAAAGCCACAAAGAGCTTTCTAACGAAATGAAAGCTGTGTTAATTGTACAGTTTTTGTGTTAATTAGGATTATTAATCAAATCAATCATATCAAAAAGCTTGATTGAACTCTTGTTTCCATTTAAAAATGAAACATTATCAGGATACATCATCAACTTTTAACATTTTGGTGTTTAAATGTATAAAATTGTATTTATCACTGGAAAAAAAATGCCACTTCTTCTTAAATCGCATCCAACGCTTGTGTTTTAAATGTATCAGAGTTATAGATTTGCTCCAATTGCAACTTTCCAGCCTGATTCTAACTTCAGATTTTCTCATAAAAAATGAATCCGCCTGTTTCTATTTTAGTTAGTTTGGTTTTCTGTCTCAGAAAACAGAATAGTTTTATTTAATTATTGCAAGCCCACTGTGTGCAAGAGTGCAAAGGATGTGACAAAGATGGAATATTTGTAATAAAAGCTGCATAAAAGCTCTGGTTTTTAGTCATAAGCTAAAATGGAGGTTTGTCGATGTCCTTAGTTAGTCCATCAGGGATATGAATAATTGTGGACTTAATTGTAGATTTTAGCAACCATAATAATATGACTTATCTGCCTTGTTCTTCTTTTTTTTAACTTTAATATTTCAGCACTTCTCTCATAAGACAGAAAAGCCCTAAAGCGATACATTTCAGTTTGTTCAATTTGTTCAGCTCATCTATTCTAGAAGAATCCAAAACGTTTTCATTTTTCAAGCTAACAAAGCGTCTTTAAAATCCCACCTGTTACCTTCAACATCTGCAGTACACCATGTCTAAACCAGCAGCTTTTTTCACACCTTGTAGCTCAGAGATTTCTATCGAACAGAGTCAAGACACTTTCACCTTGAAGCCGTGTTACTTTGTAGGTCTTGTACTCAGCACTACTCAGCAGGAGTACTGAGAAAAATATTTACACACACTGTGAAAAGCAAACATTTTGACAGGTAAACTCTCCGCTCTGCTGTGTTTACATGGGATAAGTGCTAAAATCAACCTTGCTATATCGGACACTCCGATCCTTAAATCAACTAATGGTCATTACCTTTTCCACCGGGACGAGCTCCGCCAGCTCTCCTCCTCCTCTCTGGGATCCATCAATGTCGCCGCCATACGACCAGCTATCACACAACCCACTGTCACTGCTAGCATTAAAGCCACAGGCGTCACACGGGCCCGATGAATCACACTCACCCAAACAGCAATAATAAGCATTTATCTCAGGGTGCATTACAAACCCTGGAAGCATGGCAAATGTGCACATGGCAGAAGTACGATGAGACAGTGTCAATAACACGGCGCTCAACCATCTGCTCTGCCACAAGACACACATGTTACACAGAAACTGTGATACTGGAGACAGTAAAACCAAATCTGCACTCTGGAGAGTCTGCCCATCTCGTGAATTTTGTTTGGTTCTCATGTGTTTTTATGTAAAATAATTTAAAAAGTGGTAAGACTGACATGACACCGTCACAAACCGGATGTAACATTCATGACGGAGTCTTCATGTATGGTTGTGACCGTTGTTCAATGCAAGGTTTTAATGCACGTTTTAGTACAACTTTGCATTAAAAGTCTCATTATTTACCAAATGACATTTTATGACAGCAGTCATAACCATTCATGAAGACTCCTTCATAACACGTCTTATAACATGTGCATGACAACCTCAAAACAAAAAGCACTTGAATTAAAGTTTAATTGAACCAGAAATCAAACAAATAAAAATTAGAGCTGTTGTTAAATGTCATATGTGGTGAAATAAGAGAATATGAGAAGAAATTTACCAATCAGTTGACTGACTTTTATAAACGGTTCAAAAACTGTAAGATCAGTTTTTTGAGTTCATTAAATGCATCAGGACTTAAAACTCCCACCATTTTCTGTTCATGAATGTGTCATCAACTTACACCTAAATGAAGAAAATTTTATGAAGTTAAAGGCATTTGCTTCCAAATAACGATAAAAAAGCTTGTCGTTTCCTGCTGTGCCTTATACATTCACACACACACATTTATGTTGTAAAACCAAGCCCAGAGGAATCTGATTAATAATGCAAGGAAACGCAGCTCGTCACATGTTCGCCTGACGTCAACTTACCGATCTCATCTGCTGAGCTCCGGTAACATGCTGAAGAACCTTTTCCAGCTCCTTCTCAATGCGTCCGGCCCAGTGAATCATTCTGCAAAAAATAAATAAAACACATGTCCCTCAACATCTGCATCTGAACAGGTTCTCACACAATTCTCTGCACTACATAAGAATAACTGAGTGAGTACGTCTGTCTGTCTCCAGTATGTTCTGCTGCCACAATCTGGGCCAACGTTTCCGGATTCCTATCTGGACGAAAACCTCGTCCTAATGTCCAACTTTCTCATCAGCACTTCCTTCGCCCGTCAAATCTACATGCTTCTATCTGGTTGGGCCTGGCAGGACCGGCGGCGACTGAGCCTGTCTTGCCTCAGCTTTGGATCTCCAGCTTCGTAATAAAATTGCTGGGGTCTGACAGAAGTGCACCCTAGGCAGGAGCTGATCTCCGTTAGACGGAGCCAAGTTGGGAATTAAGAGATCAAACGCCTGGAGCTCATCACTAAAAATCTCTCGCAGAGCAACAAATGACTTAATGGATCCAGATTTAGATCATTTCAAAGAGAAGGAGCCAGCCTGGCAACCTGGATGTGTGCTGCTCAGCTCGCAAAACAGTTTAAAAGCTTTCAGCAATCAGATGAATAAACTCTGTCATGCGTTCACGGTCCAGCCACCAGCTGCCAACCTTTAGAAGATAACCAATCAGTCGCATCAACATCTCAACACAATGTGGTCGCTTGTCTGTTAATACGATGACAGAAACAAATGTCATCTTCAAATGTCAGATTTGCGCAGAAGATGAGAAGGAAGAAGGCAGAGTTAATAGAACGCAGAAAATCGCCTTGCTGCCAAAAGTGGGGAGTAAGAAGCAACAGATCTAAACACGGACGCACGGTTTGTCTGTGTTTATCGCACCAGTTTAAGAAAAAACACGAGGTTTTCTAAAGAGGGAGAAGGAGGCAGAATGAGTGTTTACTGTAAAAAGGTCAGAAAAAAGGCAGGACACTACAAGTCCAGGCAACACGTCAGTCCCTCGGTCAGATGATCTTTAATATGCCAGAGCTTTTGATCCAACAGTCAATTAGTCAGACTGGGATTTGCTAATTTTGCCATAATTACCTCTGAGTGACAGAAAAAAAAGATCAAAACTAAGACTGACCACCATTTTCACCCAATGAACGTGTCAACAAACCGTCTGAGCCAGAAAAATCCTGATCTCTGAGTTTAATTCATCATTAAATTAGTTACTTATAAAGTTTCAGAGAGACTCACACGTGAACTGCTGATCAAAATAAAAAAATGGTTCAAATTAATGAATGAAGTCAAATATTGATAAATCCAATTTAATTAAATGCATAAAAACTAAACATGTGAACACGGTGAACTATTTTAATGAACTATTTTAATAGTTTGGTGAGGAGTTTGTAATTCCTTCATATTAATTTAATTCAAAACAACTAACTGTGATCATGTGGTGCTGACACTGACTAATTAACAACAATTATCAATTCCCTCATGTTGATGATCAAACTTAGACATATGTTGGAAAACCAAATGAGTTTATAAGTAGAAATGAATGAATCAATCAGCCAAATATATTAAAAAGACATTTATGAAATCCATCAAAGCGACAAACATTTTGGTCTAAAAACTCTTCAACAACCAACAGGAACTTTGATCCACTTCCTGAATTTATGTTTAGGGACATAAGTTTTGAATAAAAATGTATTACTGATTCAAAATAAATTTGTGAACAAGGCACTAAATATAAAAACAGAACAAATATAGAGTGATATTTGCTCAGTTGAATTCAGTCAAATAGTCTATGATACATATTCAAATATGACCAAAGAAACAAATTAATTCAGTCAAGTTGAGTTTATTCAGCTGATTTATATATAAAAAGGTTTCTGAGTAATCCTACTGAACAAGCACATGGCGACGGAGGAAAGGAAACCTCCGCTATAATGAACTTTATCAGGAATGATGAGAGTAATTATTCAACTTTCCACCGGATTCAAAACTCATACATCGATCATAGAAGCTGCAGATCATTTTTTGTGTTACAATCTATAAAGTGAAACCCTGGAATTGGTCAAAATGGAAATCAGCAGGTCAGACTTTAAAGAAAACTGAAAACTCATTGGCAATATAGAAAAGTTGACATTTAGAAACAGCGAGCTGGCTAGCTAGCTAGAAAAACGTTACATTCATCTTCAATGCTATCTTGAAGCCCAAAAAGAGCAAAAAAATCATTAAAATGATCAATAATAATCTTAATACAAAGGGGTCTTACATTAAATTAAATTTAAACCAGAAATCAAACTAATCAAGCTAATAAAAATTGGAGCTATGTCCATATATTGTCCCAGGTGGTAAAAAAAGAATACACAAAAACAGATGCACAAATCAATCAGTTCAGTTGATTTGAGTTTTCTAAGCGATTTAAAGATCATTTAGAACCTGAATCCAACTGTCAATAAAAAAAAAAGCCTGCCACACTTTATTTTTCTCTTTTAATTCTTGGATGAAAATATCAGAAGAAGATCCAAATTGGTTGGGAAAAGCTCGATTGCTGCATCTCTAACATCTGAACCGCCGGGGGAAATAAGCAGTCAAGCAATATCTGTTAAAATGTTCTTTTTCCAAACTACTTTATTATGACTTCGGAGTTTCACTGGGCCAAATCGAATGAGAAACATCCTCCAGTCTCAGATGTGCAGAACTCCAGCTACTGAGATATCAGGACACGGTTATTTAGGAAATTATATGCACAACTGGAGCCTGATGCCAAACGCACGCCTTTAGACCTCGTGTGTAATGAAAGCTGCCATATCTTTTTTTTTTTAAACAAAGAAGTTTTCATGGTTCAGCACATTAAAGCCGACCGCGTGCTCTCTGCCTCTTTCTATGATGCAGTCGTAGAAACGCCGCCATTTGTTCCCCAGCGTCGTTTTTGATGTGTGTTTTTTTTTTCCAATGCATGCTGATTTATGCCCGGCCCAACATTACGGAAAAGCAGAAAATGTGATGAAATGAGTTCGGATGGGAGACCTGTGTGCCGGCAACATGCTATCACTGTGTCCATTCTGCTGCGATGGATCTCATCACTCGCACTGCCACACTCAAACATCTATTAGGGCAGGAGGTTGACTATTTTTTGATGTGTGGAAATAACATTTTGACAAGATTGCTGTTGATATTTTACCATCATTGGAAAGATTTACTTTCTGGGGAGGAAAAACTGCTATCAGAACCGATTTCTCCACTTCATTTAAACATACAGAAACTGCTCCCTCTGCGAGAAACACACTGACGTAAATACTGAAGCATTACCACCAGGCAATTTGAGCTTTCAGAAAATGCGAGCGCTGCTGGGAAATTAAGTAAGTCTTCAAAACAAATGAAAAAAACTCAGATAGGTCGGCTCGGAAGCTGCATACAAAGACACACACATGCTTCAATTATGTAGCAAATTCTGGCAAACGTAATGTGGGTGACCCAAAACCCAGTTTAAATCCCCAAGAGGGAGCTGAATATAATACAGACTTAAACAAGGGCACCTCAGACCTGAAGGGAGGGAGAAATAAGATGTTAAAAAAAAATAATTAAAAAAAGGAAGCTCTTCAAGCAACAATTGGATGACATAAATTTCTTATGCCACCTTTTTTCATTGGGCTTAAACAATCAAGTCAGCGATCCAGCTAATCTGAGTCAATGGCAGATGCACTGAAAGTCACCTTGGACATCAAACTAACAAACCCCTGGAGAATTTCACCAGATAATCCAGCTGGACGCATCAAGAGTCACTAAAATATATTTTCGTTTTTCTTCCTTTGAGACAAATGAACACAAATAAACACTTTGATCAAATGTCCTCCAGAGTTCAGCAGTTGATGCACTTTAAGGGTTAATTATTGAGCAAAAAGGGATAAATAAATAAAAAAAACAGACGTGTTGCCACCTTAGAAATGTAATTAGATTAAGCTTTAATCAACCAATGTTCACCCTTCATTTTCTCAATTGGCTCAGTTCAGCTCACTTGTCGCTTCCCAACAGGTGCGCTGCAAAAGTCAAGCTTCAGTTTTCCTGCTTCAGTTTCAGGTTTTACTGACAACAATCTGCACAAACCATCATCTTCATGAACATCTGGCCTTACAATACAAGAGCGCCTGATTTTCATAATATCCATGCATGTTGAGTTTCTGGTGAAGAACAAGATTAAAACATCAGCTTCTACTTACACTCTATTATTCCCACTATATGTGTGTGTGTGTGTGTGTGTGTGTGGTGTGGTGTGTGTGTGTGTGTGTGTGTGTGTGTGTGTGTGTGTGTGTGTGTTATCCGGAGGACTTTAAAGCTTAGATCGGATGTTCTCCCACATGCAGAGACAGCCAAACAAATTTCTATTTTCCATTTCATCCCCTTATTAATGTTTCTCAAAATCCGCCTCCAGCACGTGTCTGTGCACCACGATGCCACATTTCCAATGATTCTGAGCATCGATATTAGATATCTCTATAAACAGGATACAGCGTGGGAACTGATGTTGATCTCGCGGCATCGCATCAGGAAACATCAGATCCTGCGAGGTAAACTGCGCACACAGCCTTGTTGGGGGCCACCTGTCCTACTTCAGCCCTCCCCTCCTTCCTTACACCTAAACAGCGCTTAGTACTTACGTGTAGTGCTGTGGGAAGTGGTGGGTCCCGGCTGTCGGCGTGGAGACGCATATAATAAGTACAGTTTGTACGACGAAGAGGCAGAAAACGCCGATCGACTGCGCGCAGATCGCCATTTTCCATTAAATATTCACGAAACTGGGAGAAATAAAAGAGAGTACCGGAAGGACGGTCTCCCACTCTCTCTCTCTCTCTGCTTGTGTGTGTGTACGTGTGTGTGTGTGCGTCTCTTGCAGCTGAGCTAAGAATAAACCGAGCTCCGGAGGAAAGTGAGCGGCAGGAGGTGAACGGTCGCCGGACGCTTCTGGACACTTCAGCACCGCGCTGTGAGTGAGGGGCTCCACCGGAGGCGCACACGCCACGCAGAAATTTGGCACCAAAATAAATGATGATAGAAACAGAGTCAGGAGGCGAGGATCGGGGGAAAGATGCTCAGCCGCTGTTGCTGATGTGCCCGCCTGGCTGCTGCCTGTTCGCGCACTCGCTGTCCTCCCTCCCCTCTCTCTTTCTCTCTCTCTCTCTCCCAGCTAAAGCGCACATTCGCTCCCTTTTTCCTCCTCCGTCGTCTCCAGTGTAACAACAGCCATACAAGGTGAAGCTCAAAGCGACGCCACTGTTCCCCATTACGCTTTCAAAATAAAACCATTTGGAGTTCCGACTGCGCGCACCCCATTGCGCACTGCTGTCCCCTGAGAATGTTTTCTAAACAACTTACTCCTCTCCTCTAAATGATGATTTTGTCATATTTGACTCCTCACTTATTTCACATTAAATGCGCAATGCGAGTTTGAGAATTGCCTCTTTTGTTGACTCAGCTTTGACCTCAGTTTTTTTAAAAATGCGGTTAATATTTTATTTTGTAGGCCTAACTTCCTGTGTTTCACCCTCTGGCTCACTTGATTCATCTTTTGGCACATCAGAGGTCCTTCCTCCTTCACCAGGCGGCCCGCTCCTGTGCGCCAGCCGGGGGCGCGCATCAGGCCGCCTCCTCCTACCGCCCTCCTCCTCCTCTTCCTCCCCCTGCGCCGCCGCCTTCTTCACAAACTCTGGATTAGAAGCAGAAATCAAGGCTTTATTCTGCTAATTAGAGGCTCGACTCTGGAGGGGCCCGTTGTATTAACTGGAGTGTAAACATTCAGCAATCACAGGCTGATCCGCGACTACATTTGTTCTGCTTATTGTCGCATCTGGTCCAGTGAACGAGTTTGAATGGATGCGAAAAGAATTAATAACGTTATTTTGGAGCTGAATGCGAATGTTTGGTTCTTTTAAAAGCTATTTGTGTTGAACAGACGAGCGCAGTTCAGTCCAAACATGTTCAGAGTGCCTGCAGCCAATGAGCAATCAGTCAGGTCATGATAAATAAAACAAATCAATTTCCATTTCTACCAAAAACTAGATGACCAAAGTCTTCAGTCTGATGTTTTGGTTTCAACAAGCCCTTTTTTATGAAGGATATGTTTATTTACATATACATCTTAATTCATTTGATTTATTTCCGTTTTATTTGTTTTGTATATTTACAATGTCTTGTGTTAAATTTGGCCGACGTATCGTTCACATGTTGCCATTTTACTACACAAATAGAGCTAAAACAGGAGAAAATGATCCATAAGGAAAAATCATTTTCAACATTTTTGCGATTGAAACTTTAAAAAGTTGGTTTGTACACGGCGCCCTTGTCCTGTGAAAGTTATTTGGAGGAGCTTTCACCAGAGTTACACCTTCAAGTCTTTCAAGATATGTCTGGACCAGCTTTATCCATCTGGATTTAGGTCTGGACTTTGACTGGACCATTGTTTTATGCTTTGATTGAAATTATGAGCCTTGCTCCAATCTCAAACCATCATGTTTTACGGTGAGGATGTCTTGTTCAGTGACACATCGTGTTCCTCGTCCAGGCCAAATGTTAAATTTTGTTCCCCAATTTTTTTTTCTTTTATTTCCTGTGTCTGGTGCATCCACCAATTTCTTTTCATCATTGTCAAGGTTAGTTTTTTGACCCAGATGCAGAAGCCACTGTGGGAGCGTAGTAAGGTTTTGACATTTATTAAATAAGTAACCGGAATCTGCTTTGGCAAGGTCAGTTCGTCTGACAGGGTGAGAGGAAGACATGTTAGCGAAGCAGCAGGAATAATGGAGGTTCTGAGAATGAGATCAGAGCCGGCTCACGGGTTCGAGGAGAGGTAACGGCGCAGAGGTGGAAGATCCTGCTGGTTCAGAGGTAAGTGAAGCTGTTGATCCAGACAGGTGAGGGAGACGAACTCACAGGTAACAGGAGTTGCAGATGATGACCTTTGGCTGAGCTTCTTACAGGGAAATACGGAGACGTTGGTGTTGGCTTTGTGGACACTGGAGATGTGGATGAAGCAGAAAGCAGAAGGTTTCAGAAAGTGAGAATGTGGTTCGGTTAGATGGTTAATTTTCTTCATATCGGCGATCAGCCGACACTTAAATGTGAAGCCGATCTGATCTTATCAACCAGCCACTGTCCTCTTCTGGACAGATAGACCCACCAGCTCATGTCTGTGCAATAGTCGCTCCACTGGTGCCAATTCAGTAACTTTCTTGCCATATGTAGCAACATTTCAGCCAAAAAAAAAAAAAAAGATTGCTATCAGATAAAAATCAGAATCGGCAGGTCATACTTCTTAAGGATGCATGATTAAAACATCAGAAAGAGATGCAATCAGTGCATCTCTTTCTTCTTCTGCTTCCATTATTTACTGTTATGTTTGTAAGGTTTATATCTTCTCTCATTCTTGCTTTGTATAAAAGCTACATGGGGTTTGGCGTTTTGCTTGGCTGTGTTGCCTTCCTGGAGGAGGACATCGGCTGAGATAATGGTGCCAACAACCAAACATTAACCCTCTCCTGCTAATAACTCTTCACTGTTAATTAACATTGATTGTTCTCCTGCATTAATTCATCGGTTTCTTTTTTGTGTATCTGCTCTGACATCTCAAACCCCCAATCAGTCGTAGTAGTTTCTCCTCTTACAGTCGCCACATGCATGCTCAGCATGAGGAATTGCTGGAAACACAAGCGATTGTCTACCATCGCTACATGCTCATCCAGGAGACAAACCTTTAAGTAATTTAACAATAATGCACTGAGCTTATTGTACAGTTTGATAACTAGTACATGTGACTGAATTGAAATAAATTGCTTGCAAAGTGCCCTGAGATTACATTTTTGTGAATTGGTGGAATATAGATAAACTGAAGTAACTCTGGTAAGAGGAAGTTTTCTTTTGTTTTTTTTTTTTTTTTTTTTTTTTGCATATGAATACAATATGAGGCTAAAAATAACTTAGGTTCCCTTTTTTATTTTCCAGCTGTCCTCCTGTAAAAGCTGCGGACCGAAAGGCATGAGTCCCTCCCTGGGGTCGACTGGAGGAGTCTCATCTCGCGTACGGTGGCAGCAGAGAGGCAGCGGCCCTGTGGCTGTGTCGTCCTTGACTCGGTCAGTCAGCAAGGAGGGACAACACAGGTGCAACAGAAAGCCATGCAGAAAGTCAGGAGGGTTGCTGCACAGTGTTTCTGTGTCCTCAGTGACACAAGAAGAAGAAGCTGTTTCGGTAGAGAAGCGCTTTGGGGCCCCGGCTTGCGTAGGGACGGGGAAACCTACCCCGCTGAGATATGCACCTCGATGTCATGGGTCGTTCAGTCAAAACAAATCTGTGTGCTTCCTCTCCCGGGGACACGGGGCCAAATAAAATCTTCAATTTCTGAAAGCTGTGAAGTTTGGAGACATATTATGCAAGAGTCTCCCTCCAGACAAATGTGACAAAGAGGCAGGACAGAGTTTTGTTTTGATTTATATTAGCTTCCTAAGCTGAGGGAAATAGCCCTAATTGATGGCTTCTTTCACACATTAATTTACACTCTGTTACTTCCCATCACCTTCCTATCACATAAATGATGGCAGCAAGCAGACGCTGGTTGAGCGATGGAGCCTCCAGTGAGGTTGACTCACACTTAATTTTTCTGCTGAGTCACACCCATTGTTCTCTTCCTCTTTTTGTTCTCAAATATGCACAGGGCAAACTTTTATCTAAATTTACCTGCAGCTGCGACAAAGATAATTAGGCTCCAATTTAGCTGTGAATAAGTAGTTTTGTCTTATTTAAAGAGGGATTCAGAGTTTCTCTTTTTCAAGCCAGGCAAACAAAACACCAGGGGGTTGAGAGCTGTAATAATCCCAACAACTGAACTCAGGTAGGAGTAGCACTACTTTAACATATCTTTGGTAAAAAGTCTACTCAAGACAGTAACTGATCAAAACAATCATTTAATATTTAAAAATTAAATCATCAGAGGGTCCAAAATATAAATGTCTGAGGAAATGTTGATATTTTAAAGACTAAAATGAAAATAACTCGCATAAATACCATAACTACTAAATAAAATCAGGCAAAATATTCTGCAAACATAAAGAGGTGGAGATGGATCGTTTTTTTTCTTTTACAACTTTATAAGTTGTGTCTGTGTCTGGTGAATGTTTGGTTGCAACGTTTGTTCGTTCACTGTAGTCATTGTGGGGAAAGTATCCAGAACTTTTACTCAAGTAAAAGCAGCGATACTTTATAATACTCAAGTAAACATAAATCATATAAAATACTCCTAAAAGCAGTTTTTTTTTCCAGAAGTAACTGAGTAAATGTATCTAGTTACCACGCACTGTGTGTGACTGTGGAGAGCTCAGAGGTGATTGTCAAACTGAGAACTGGATCCTGGTGTCTCTCCATCTGAGCTGATTGATCCGACCCGTTCAGAGATCCACTCAGTGAAAACTCAGAGATCAATGACGTCTGAGTGGGTACACTGTAAAACATGAGAGCCACATTTAGTTGTGTCTACTGTCTTTTACTCTTTAAGTCAAATACATCTAGCGAGTTTTAGATTTTGAACCAACATGTGAATTTGTGAAAGGTAAACCTACGGTAGTAAGTTATGTTGACTTTTTAATTAATCTTGTCAAACCTCCAAGAGCTTTTATGTTAGCACTTTAAAAAATGGAAGAAAAAGACAGGTGTGCTATTTCCCAGAATGCTTAGCAGCTTGTTTGTGTAATTTAAGATGGAAGTGTTTTACTTTGATCTGACTCCTGTTGTTAAGGCAAATGTTTATTTCAAATCTTGAGGATAATGTCTTGATCACACTGAATGTTTTTAGCAGAATTTATTGTGATGTTTAATAAAATTCATCATCAGATCAGAAAATTTGTTCATGAAACTTAAAACAAGAATTTAAATTATCCTAAAGTAAAATAAGCTATTTTAACGTGATATTATGAGTGAAATAATAGAGAAATGTGTCTCTTTAACGAGGAGAGAGACATTTTTTTTGTTGCATATTGTGAAATAATTTGGTTTAAATTGCAGCATTAAGTTAAAACTCATAATTCAAGATTAATGAACTTTAAAACTATGTTCAGACAACTTACCTCTTGTTAAATCAACTTCACAAACTTTAATTTCTTGTTGACTTGAATTGCATTTTAACGGCAGCAGGTGAACTTACATTTTCAAGTTAAACCACCTTCAGACGTTTTACAGTGTAGTTCTCTTTCGGTACAGTTTCTCATGAAGAGCTTGACCTGCCTGTCTGCTATTGATCCAGGGAGTGAAAGCAGACAGGCCAGGCTGTGCTGCGTCAGGCTCCAGCCTCCTTTCTGGGGAACGCTCCCCCAGACGGAGGTCAAGCAGGCTGGGGAAGAATTAATCACACCTTGTTTCCTTGTCTGCGGGCCGCAGGGAAGTCACGAGTAAAGCTCCACACCCCACAGAAACACAGCTGCACTGGCTGCTTATCTCACACTTCTTCCACCTTATCCATCTTTTTTTCCTCTGCCTGACCTCTTGCTTTGTTTCTCTCTGCCCTATGCTGACGTTCAGACAGAAAAAACAAATGCTTTACATAATATAAACCAGTGCAGAGGTTTAATATTCGGGATTAGAGAGGAAAACAGGATGCTTTACCGTGTCTTGGTAGATTATATCCCACAAGAAAACTGCTGCTTTGGATGGTCAAGAAATGTTTTGTTCTAATTTGTTTTTAAAAAAAAATATTTCAGAGTCCATCTTAATATTTTCAGTTACAATCACAATTTTTTAAATGCCAGAATTTGTTTTCAGTTTTGTTTTAAAGGAGACCTATAATGCAAAACACACATTTTGCTCATTTTTTATACTTCAGTTTGTGTCTCAATTGCTTTGGAAAACACAGTGAAAGTGAAAAGTACAGCGTAGGAAAAAAAATACTCCTAAAAGTAATTTTTTAAAAAGAAAGTTACTCTGAAGTAAATGTAATTGAGTAATTGATTGAGTAATTGATTGACTTTTGAGATTTTTTTGTTCTTCTGTTCATTAACTATGATCTGGATTTTTATTTTTATAGCTTTTTACCAAACTTATTTCACTGCCAATAATGAGACTCTCAGCAGCTTCAGCCAGGATCTTCACAAGGTCTTTGGCAACAATTATGGGCATGATGTGCACATTTCACTCCTGAACACATTCATCTGTTTTTCCATGATCTCACAGGAAAGCCATATGTAAGGTGTTGCACAGAATCCATCTGCAAGTGATTCATCGAACCATCACAGCGCCAAATCTGATGCATCAAATTCACCACAAACTGCAGACACATTTCGCTGAAGAGACTCAAACTCTTCAACAAACCTCATCAAGAGCTCTCTGCAAACCAGGTACTTGACATACTTCTCACACCTTTTCCTTAAGGGCGGCGTGTTTTTAACAGCTGCAGAAAGTCAAACAGCATTTGTGCTTCATGAGGAAACCTTAAAGACTTCCAAGCAGCCAAGCTCATCTATCACATTCCCCCTCTCTTCGTCCTAGAAATCATCGTCACCCACTCATCAGATAAGCAAGGCCGCGCTCATTAATACTCAAAATTTAAAGTACATAATTTCAGTTAAATTTTAATTTATTCCCATTTGTCTCGTTCGTGTGCCCTAAAAACTTTTTAAAGGAATCAATAGGAAAAGGCTCTCTTGTCCCTGCAGTCTGTTAGTCCTGTAAAACACAAACCAAAGCCAGAGATGCTGATCCACAAGGCATTCTGGGACTTCTTTCATGCTCAAATGTCAGAGCGTTTCATTCTGATGATGGTGACTCACTGCCCTCGATCTTTGTCTGCATGGGAGAACAACACCATTAAATAACAACCCGGCATCCTCACGTGAAAAACCACAATACTACAAACGTTACGTAACAACGCTGAACTGTGTACTCATGCTTTAACAACTGAATAAATAGACTTGTATGCATTAAAAACAGGATTTTATCATCTCTCTTACCACCTCACATAGACATATTGGTGCTTGGGGTGGAGGGGAGATTTGAAAACAGAACAAGACCAAGCAGTCATTGACATGCTCTACTAGAGGCCTAATGGGCCCTGGGTAATGGCCCTCTCTGGGCTTCAGGAAATCCTCCCTCATGCATACATCAGAGCCGGGATTGAAAAGGATACAGAGTGAAAATGGAGGAACGGAAAGAGATACCAGAGCCACACAGAGAGGGAAGGTGAAGGAGCACGTTTTGTTTAGCGTATTACCTTAAATCGTTACAAAAGACTATTAAAAAAAAAACTGGAGCTGGACGATATAACTCAAAGCGCTCTTTCTTTTGGAATAACGTTGTGTTAGAGATCTGCTAACAGATACTAGGCACACCTACACTGCAAAAACACAAAATTTACCAAGCAATATTTGTCACGTTTCTAATGCAAATGTCTTAGTAAACTTGAAATAAGACAAAACTAACTAATCTTTCAGCAAGATATCAGAGCTTGTTTTAAGACAACAATTTCATAATATTGATGAAAACTTTCTAGTTTCAGTGGCAGATTACTTCTCTGATAACAAGACATTTTTTCCACGTTATAAGTGAAATAATCTGTCAATGGAAATGCTACGTTTTTCAACAGTATTATGTAATTTTTTACTAAAACTCCATTACCTGCCCAAAAAGTTACTTATACATTAATTTTGACTTATTTCAAGTGAACTAAGATATTTGCACTTGAAACTGGATAAAAATACTTGGTAGGATTTTGTACTTTTGCAGTGTTCTCTACCCTGAGGTCACTCAGAGTCGGTAAAATGATCAACTTTACCATATTTTATTCAGAAACAATTTCAAGTAAACAGCAAGTTTAAAATGTTTCTCTCTGGGATTGTTTAATTGTGGTCCAGCTGTTAATCAATAATGAACATATGGCGTTTGCCACAAGACAAATTGAAAAGTAATCATCATTACACTCACAATTTCACTTTCACTGTTTAAAAGTTCCTAACCAGAACCTGTCTTGCAACATGAAGTAGGCCAAAAGATTCATCTTTCCAGGTGCATAGTGAACTTTTAAACTCCTGGATAAGGTGTTGGTTCATTAGGTCTCCAAACAACTCCTCTCAGAGGAGTTGTCTCAGTCTGAGAAAAATAAATTAAGAATCATGGAAAGCATCATATTTGCTTCTTAAAATGCTAGTAAGAGTTAAGCACTGCAGGTTCATGATGTCATTTCAGATGTTTTCATCTTCAGTCCAAACCTCTCCCACCAATATTGTCCACCTGACTTTGCTGACACATTATTTGTCAGCCAGCTGCAGCAAAACAAGAACTGCAGCTCATCACCCTGCAACATCCACCGCCTCTCCTCTCACTGCCCATGAGCCATCTGCCTCATCTGCATAAAGCAGATCTGTCAATAACATCTAATTGTGATTCACACAGAAGTGCTCAGTGTGACCCTGACTCTGTTTGCTAAAGTTTCCCCTGCAGACCCCGTACGATGGACGCGTTTGTGTGCAGCTACGTTCTGAAGTGAATCTATCTCTATGTGGGATCTTTTGGGGGTGAATTCAGTGAAGAAATCTTCACCCACGTTCAGAAAACGCTGGGACCTCCATGTGTCCTACTCAGTGAAGCGGAGCATGTAAAACCTGCCGCACTCGTCGTGATTGTCGGCTCTTCCTCCAATTTAACCTTTGACTTCTGTGCCACAGTCTGGTGGGACATGTCTGAGAAAATGTTTCAGTAGTTGAGAGCAATGTTACACTGAGGAGAAAATGAAGTACGAGCTGCCTCACAGTGCCACGCTGACATTAAATTATCCTTCAACAGTTTTGCAGCGAGAGCCGTACTAAGTGCCATCGTATAACGCGTTAAACAGTGACGGTACTAAAGAGACAAAACTAACAGGCCTGTGCACCTTTCAGTGGTTTGATCATTTGAGCAGGTGATTCCATCTGAACACGGCCTAAACTTCTCCAATTACTGTGGAGTGAGGAGCGCACAAACAAGCCCACCCACCCCCTCCGCCATCAAATTAGAGTCAATTTTAATTGGCATTAAGGCTGGTGATAAGCTTTTAATGAAGGAATTAACAGATAACACAAGTCTAGTTCTGCAGCTTCAAACTGTGTCACTTTATGACAAACAAACACGGAGATTTTACAAACTGAGTTCATAATGTTAAAGGAAGTGAAAAATTTACTGGACTAATCCAGATTGCGTCGTCCGTGTTGTCCAAAGTGAGGCTCGGGGGCAATTTACGGCCCTTAGAACAATTCTACTTTAAAAACAAAACAGCCCAGTAATGAATACAAACCACATTTTTCAGATTTTCATTTTGCAGAAATGATTCTGCTTTTTTCCTTTCCACCTCACTGTGTGACGACCACAGAGCATCAATAACTCTACATGATGAAATGTTACAAAAACAGGTAAAGTAGTTTTTCAGGACATGCAAAATGAAATATAAGTTGAGTAAAACAACCACCGGCTGGTTCTATGATCTGTGATTTTTCCCGGTCTGAATGATGCCTGCAACATTAAAATAAATTTACAAATAGAAGAGCTAACCAAGCAGGTGAAACCCTGAGCTCCTTCTGAACACCTAATGAAGCCTGCAGTTTAAATCTCCCCTTATTACAGCTAATGGATTGTTTATGTGGTTATTTTATCCCTAGCTTAGAAAAGTATTGCATAAATCCTCATTGTTATCAGTGTTATTACCGCATCACCTCAAGCATGTAGGGATAAGCAGTATTACAAGAATCGGTAATATACAATGATAATTAGGATGCACGGATATAGCCACATAAAATGATTGTCATTTTGTGTTCTGCTCAATATTTGTTTGTTTTTTCTCTCCGCCTCCTGCCGAGCTGCAAATTCAGGCCATTTTCCCAGAAATGTGTCTGACAGAGAGAGGCAGATGCCTTCCTGTCCTCCCAGAGGAGACCGAAGCACATGTGGATAGTCACTAGGCTGGTCATATTAAACACACCATGTGCACACTGCATGTGACTTGGTGTGTGTCTGCGTGTGTGGGTGTGTGTGTGTGTGTGTGTGTGTGTGTGTGTGTGTGTGTGTGTGTGTGTGTGTGTGTGTGTGTGTGTGTGTGTGTGTGTGTGTATGTGGAACGAGCACAGCCATGGGAGTGAGACACCTAGTGGCAACCTTGCAGCACTTCAACAATAAATACGTCTAAACAATTTAAAAAAAACCTAACTTGGTAAGTTTTTTTTATCAGTCTAATGCACTTTTAAAGAAAAAAAGAGAAAAAACTGACACCTTAATTTGTGTTTGCTTCTATTCACAGTATGTTAGTTGGATTGTGGATATTGTTGCAGTTTGATACCATCTTCCCCCGCTGTCATAACAATAGCTCTTGCGGTTGATATCATTTGTCAAGCTATCAGTGGCTGAATATGGTCCACTGCTCCCATGAGGCTGCAGAGTTGCTACACTGCTGCTGGTGTTTAGTTTTTTGTTCTTTTTTTTTTTTTACCTTGGGTGTCTTCTTTCACCTCTCCAGTAGATTCTGGAGTTCAGGCTTTCAACGCCCTCTGCACACAACCTGCATGAATGATGCAGCAGAAGGAGGATCTGTGAGCAGAACAGCAGAGAGTAACTAAACTCGTCTAATGGGCTGATAACAAAAGCAGAACTACGCCATGACGGACGTCCAAACAACCCATACGCTCCTTTGATAAATTCTGTA